CCATTATCCTTTATTATAAAACTAACTACGGCGATCAATCACGTGGACACATTATTACAGGGTACAGATTAGAATGCGTAGTACTGATACACATGATCAAAGCACTACCAAAATGAGAAACAATGGATTTTTTTTTCATCTGGAATTTACTTGTATATTTATATGGAAAAAATATCGAATTTTTTACTTTGCTTTTCTATTTCAGCATCTTAACATTATTTTTATTTTTATTTTTTAAATATGAGTAGAAATAACGATACAAACATCAAAATTTTTCATGTTCGTTTGCCATTTAATACGGAGTCATACAAACTCTCAGTTTTGGGTAATTGCGACGCTTTAGGCAATTGGAAGGAGGATAAAATACAGCTCCGTCAAATTCGAAATACTATTTGGAAATCTGATCCTGTGCACATTCCAGTAGATTCTAATATTAAATACAAATATTGTTTAGTTCCGACCAGGATTTTAAAAAGGATAATAAAATCACAGTATTTTGAGGGATATGGGGATGAAACTGATAGACGGATGGGAAGTCGTAAAAATATTTATGACATTTGGCAAGATAATGAAGATTTTAAAAAAGATCAACCTTTAAATGAAGATTCATTTATCGATTATATCTACGAGACTATCGAATCTCCTGATAGCTTAAATTGTGGTTTTTTAGATTATCAATATATTTTAAGAAATTACAGAGAAGAATTTAAAAATATTATTAATTTCATTAAGCAGTGTTTATTCACAAGCAAACCAAAAAAAACAAAAGAGCAAGTGTTATTTTTGTGTGTTCTCCTTGGTGATAACATAGAATACCGGCCATTTAAATCCAGTCTTCCATATAATTTTCCATCCTCCATCATGCTAAAGGAATTTAAAAGCATCGATGATTGTTATGGTCTGCCTTCCAATGCGAAAACTATGATTGAGAGAGCCATCAAAGCTTTGATTCAACATAACTCTAAGGGTGGTTTCCTAGACTGGATTATAATCTTTGCGCTTGCTGCTAAATTGGATATGCCATACTCATTTATTGATTCGATAGAAATATATGATTATGAAAAGCAACCTAATCACTTCGTAAAACTATTGAAAGAAATAAAGCCTAGCATCAATGATCTTAAGAATTCTAATTCTAAAGCATCAAATAAAACGATTATTAAGCTTGTTAAAATCTCATATAATGCAGAATGTCTCGTACACCTGCAGGAATATTTTAAAGATTTGGGGAGTGACTATTATATTAAATATGAAGTTCGTAAAAAACTTTTGGAATTGCTTAAAGATATAAAACTACATTGGAATAAAGAAAATATCTCCTCAATTCACAGGCTTCTTATGGAACCTAATTTGGGGTGGCAAAATAAAGACTACATTAGCGTACTCAAAGCAATTGCTGGATCCAGTCAAACACTTATATTAGAATCTTTTCCTGAAATTTTTAAATTTATCTCGGGATTGGATTTAGAGGAAATTAAAAAAGATTTTGAGCGTGAATCAATCACATGGTTTATAAAAATCTATAAAAAATATAAGACCTACGATATCTTCCATTATCTTTCAATGATGCATACAACTTCGAAGTATGGTCGAGAAATATTAAACAAGTTGTTAAACCATAATATTATGACGTCATTATCCGATGATTCTTTATTTTCCATTACATCGTCTATTGAAGACTTTCATGAAGACATAATAGTCCATTTTATATCTTTGGTAAAAGAAAGAGTAGGACTTCTTGTTCAAGTTCCTAATGAGCGTCTCTTGGAAAAAACCAAGCAGATTTGTGGTAGCACAACGAGTTTGAATATCCGAAATCGGTATGAAATACAGTATTATCATTCAAACTTAGGTAAATTATATCTTAATATTTTAAATTAATCCGAATTTTCAATTTACGCAGTTCTTGTGAAGAAATTTTATGTTTTATACTTGATCGCTTACAACAAGCAAAGGATGTTAAATTTTCAGAAATAGAATCTTTTCAACTTTCGATGTTTCAATTTGCGAAATTTTGGATGACAATATTTAAAGCAGAAGGTCATACTGAAAAATTATGTTCTCATCCATATTTTAAAGAAGCATGCGAGACGGTAATTCATATAGCTACGAGCATTAAAGATCGTACTATTACAATAAGATTACTTCAAAAAATTTTTAAATATTTTTTTATCAAAAGCAACAGAGTTCTCAGGGATTATCTTAATTCAGCTATGAAAAATTATCCGGGAGAATATAATATAATTCCATGCGAAGTTATTGAAGAAAGTTACAGCCGATGTTATGAATACATTTTAATTTTGGAACGTCTCCAAAAATTTTATAAACAATTCTGTCCTTCTCAATTAGTTACAGATGTGAAACAATATTTGGATAATTTAGAAAAAAGATCAATTGACGCCACACTTGAAGAAACATACATCGAAGATCATTGGTCAATGCATTCCATGACTATTGAAATTATGAAAAATCATTATCACTTAATTGAATCACAAACTTTCTACAACGCCTTTCAAATTGTATTGAAGGAAGAATTGACTGTTAAACAAGTAATGAATGAAATTATTAAAGAAGTCATTGAAAATTATAAGACAATATGCGAAGAATATGATAAATGGGAAGAAGTTAAATGTTCTGTTGCAAATGAATTCTGGAAAAATGTCGATATTAAACATGTTGAAAAAGAAATTGAGTTTATGAGTCCTTATGTTGAAAAGCTTAAGTCGAGTAGTAATACTGGAAACAACGAGAACAATATTCAAAAATTGATTGGCTCAGTAAAACTTTTAGTTGATATCTCCCCGGCATTGGAAAGACTATATCAACTTCAGAATGTGATTAAAGGTTTAGGTGTAATTCAATGTGATCAAGATTCTTGGATCGAAGAACTAATAAAGAACTTAGAAGATGAGGAGTTACTGCTTTATCAGCTATATAAAATTTTTTATCGACTTAATGAAATTGAAAAGAAATCATCGTTAACAAATGACGTTTGGTCAATAATTACGGAAATTTCTTCAGCTATAGATTTTGTTATTTTTCTTAAGTCACTTGTCGGTCATAATCTCAAAAACTTAATCAATGGAGTTGATGATCATTCGGATGAACGTTTGATCCAAGAAAATACTGTCCAGACATTTATTCAAGTAAAACAGATCCTGGAACCTTTATTAGAGGAAAGGAAAGGAAATTATAAACAGTCAGCAGAACAGGAATTGCAAAAATTCTTGCTAAATTTACATGGTATCATAAAGAAGAATTCATCTCTTGTTTTCAAGTTACGATTATGTAATGCGAATGCGCAAGCACTAATGAATATGTACAAAAATATTTCTAATCGTGGAGAGATAACAAAAGAAAAGATTTTCTATTCAGTGACAAAGGGCGTATATTCATTTGAGAGAATGAAGGATGATGATAGTAGATATACCGCAACATTATCATATTCTTCTGACATTTTAAGGGACGGCACTGCGAAATATACCTTTGCCGACCTTCAAGATTTGCGTGGTCGAGCCTTATTGATCGCGAAAGCTCCTACAAATGCAAAAGCTTTCATCAATGAGAAGACTTTAGATAATGAAAGCATTAAAGCTAGCGAAATCACGTTGGATCACATGAATCAATTTGTTATTAGAGTTGACCTCGCACAAGAGATAATTGATACTGCATCATCGTTAAAGGAACTTGGACATTTTAAGTATCGTGATTTTCAGATATCTACACGTTCTACTCAAGATATGGAAAGATTGTTGAAGACTTTGCAAGATGATTTACAAAATTGGGAAAAAATTGTTAATGAAGCACAGAAAAACCACTATTATTTAACCTTTTTCCTAGCACAGCATATTTTAAATTTTTATGATTATTTTTCATGCAGCGAAAATATTGCAACTACACGATCTGATATCAAAGAAAAATGTTCGATCCTCTTGAGATACGTCAATGATAAAGCAGAATTACCAAACATTGAATCTGATAACCTTAATATCTCTCTTGAACCAAAAAATTATTATAGAATATTGTGCAAGATTGGTACCATATTACATGGAATATTCAGTCAAATTCCTACAATGAAACGCCAGATGACAGCCATTGTTAATCATGAGACCGTAAATGAAGTTCGTCAAGGGCACCTTTTCATCGCAAAATGTAATAATAAATTTAGGGTACCTAATATTATCATGTCTTTATGCAATTTACATAATAAATGCTATCCAGAAGCATGGCAACTTCTAATTTGCAAGTCTTCTACTACAGAAGAAGAACTTCTCACTTTCACAAAACGATGTTTTTATGCTGCAAAGAATGGATATGGAGAACATCTACTTTTCATTGCTAATGTAGAATTTCTTGATTTTGAATTGCAATATCAGTTGGTATCAAGCATACGCTCTTTATGTCAACAAGATAACCAATTTTACCTGGTCTTAATTTGCTGTCTTGAAAATAGCATGCATCATCATATACTCGATCAATTTTCAGAACATACACACGTGATTCAGGGTATTGATGCGAATTCAATGCACAACATTTACAAAGAATTGTGTCCTAATGTAATGGCAGTTTCTTCGGATTTATCCGGGCAAGGAAAGACCAAGTGGATTGAAGAGCAAAGTTTCACCCATGAATTGGTCCCCCGAAAATTTTTGATAAGTGATGGAATGACATTTGGAATACTTGTGCATAAGTTGTCAGAGATTAGATTAAAAGATACTGAAAGTTTACATTTAAATATCACGTTAATAGACCATCACTATGATATAAACATGTTTCTATTCGAATTTCTTTCACTCAAAATTGTGAGAGACAGAACTGATTTCTTAAGTATTTCACCGATGCAAATATATATAGAAATAGAATCATCCATGAATCAAGACTTACTAAATGCAATTCCAATTATCGGACATTTAGAAAAAATGCATTTGACATGGAATATCAACAACACAATTATTCCTCAAGATGTGAACAGTCCTATCCAAATTGTTGCAAGTTATTTAGATGCGTATGATCGTAACACAATCAATTCAATTGACATCGCCCTTAATACTGATAGAGAAGAGTTAATCTCCGAAAGTAGTTGTCGACAACTATTACAAAAATACTTTTTTGATAAAATTACTCAAGAAATAAAAACATATCGTTTTCTTGAAATATTTGTCAATGTTCTTGCGGATCAATTGAGAAGAATGTCATCTAGTGCATTCTTTCGTGTGGAGATATTAAAATTAATGGAAGCAGACAAAAATATCCGAATGACATTATTAGAAACGTTAATAGAAGTATCTATGGAGTTTGCAACTCGATCAGTGAATTTGAAGAAAGATCAGCTCAAAAATCTTTCTGAAAAGAATAACAAGGAAATAAGCATCACGAACATCAAACATTGGGAAGATTCAAATCACTTATTAGTATTTTTCTTGTCACAATCTCCTGATTCTATCTGTGCACTTTATCGGGATAGAAACAAGGTTCCAAAAAATGTTGAAAATTTGTTAAGGAGCCAACATTTTCCCGCAAATTCCAATTTCGTTCTAGATAATTATGATAATATGTCCTGTGAAGATATTCTGAAGAAATTGGAATGCTTGGCACGAACAACACACGATGAACGTGAATATGCACCATATGCACTTTCTGCAGATAACCTTTTAAAGATGGCGCTGATTTTATTAAGATCAAGAGCAAATGTACCGGTAGTAATTTGCGGTGAGGCCGGATGTGGCAAGGTGATAACTTTAAAATTTTCTTACCAACAAACTTTAAACTATGGTAATATTAACATATGATCCTATTATTTAATATTACTTTAGACAAGTCTCATTCAGTTCCTTTCAGGAGTCGTTAATGTTAAATTTAAAATTCTAAACCTACATGCTGGAGTTACTAAGGAACAAATACTTGAATTTCTATTTGATGCGGAAGTTGCTGCAGAGGAAGGTGAAATATGGTTGTTTTTTGATGAGATTAATACATGCAACCATATCGGCATTATTGCAGATCTCATCGCTCATCGGTTACTTCTAGGTCTGTACATTTTTCTTTAACTTAAAGTTTTGGATAAATTTTCACAAAGTGATAATAATTAATATTTTTGTAAACTTTAGGAAAAGAAATTCATAAAAATATTAGACTTTTTGCAGCTTGTAATCCTTATCGTTTTCGTCAAAAAGCTGATACTCAAGCAGGACTCTTAACAGACAGATATGAAGAAAAGAATAGTCTTGTCTATCAAGTACGACCACTTCCGGACCAAATATTAGACTATGTTTGGGATTACGGTGTTTTAAAGCCTTCAAATGAAAAGATTTATATAAATATAATGATTAAAAAATCTCAGGAAAATTTACAAGAAGTGGATTTATTTACAGAGCTATTATTTGCGTCTCAAGAGTTTGTAAGAGCTCATGAAGGAGTGCATAGTGTTAGCTTGCGTGATGTAAAAAGAGCTATAATTATATTTAAGTTCTTTTGCAAAAGTTTTGATGAACGTCAAAAAATAGCAGAAAAAATATCTGAACAGAATGTCAGATCTAAATTTATGCGCATAGCAAGTGATATAAAATCTTATTTTGAAGGAGGTCCAAATAATGTTATCAAATCATATATATTAGCACTAAGCCTTTGTTATCAAGTTCGATTTTTTGATCAAGAGCTACGTTATAGATATCAGGAAAGAATGTGTGAAATTTTTGAAGAGAATGGAGTAGAAATAGATTATAAAACTTTTATGGAAGTTGTTCAAGGAGAGCAAAAAGATTTTATGAAACGTATGACGAAGCCAAGTATGGTTGCTGAGAACTTTGCTCTCCTTGAGAATGTACTTGCGATTACTGTATGCATATTAACTCGTATTCCGTTATTTATCATTGGTGCTCCGGGGTGAGTCATCTTTATTCATTTGATATTCTGCAAATATAATATAAATATATATTAATGGCATAATTTTTTCTCTTTTAATCTAGTGCATCAAAATCTCTGGCTATTCGTCTAGTTAGTCAAAGTCTTCGTGGTAATGATTCTGATGATCCATACTTTAGAACTCTTCCTCAAGTAAGCAAATTTTAATACAACAAAGTAATAATATTTGGTGTCATTTTTTTCAATAATCTTGATGATTTGCAGGTATATGTGGTTCCGCACCAAGGATCATCATCTTCGACATCTGACGGTATCAGTACAGTATTCGATAAAGCAAATAATTATCAAAAAGGAAACTCGGAAGAATTTCCGTTAATTACTGTAGTTTTACTTGATGAAAGTAAATATTCATTATTTTATTTTTATTTTATTGTTTTTTTTTTTGTAATAGATATTTACATCAAACTAATGCATTATTTTAATCAGTTGGCTTAGCTGAAAAAAGTCCTCATAATCCATTAAAAGTTTTACACTCTTTACTTGAACCAAATTATCCTGCAGAACTTCCAGAAGTTGCCGTTATAGGAATAAGCAATTGGAGACTTGACAATTCTAAGTCAAGTAGAGCCTTACTAGTACAAAGGTTAGTAAATATAACTTTTATTTTATAAATACATTAATAAATTAAAATGTTTTAAATATACTATTTTAGACCAAATCTTGAGAGCAAAGATCTTATTGAAACAACAAGATTGTTATTGGGAAAGGGCACAGAATCGCAATTTAAAGCTTTGGCCGATTCTTACCTTGAATACAAAATTGTTCAACCTATTAATAATTTTCATGGGCTTCGGGATTATTATTTTTTAGTCAAAAGCCTTAGCGGTGGAGAGGTATTTAAAAAAAACTTTATATTTTAATGTATAAACCTTCATTTATAATGAGTAATATTTAATTATTTTATTTATAGTCTGCACAAATGGCACTAGCAAGAAATTTTGGAGGAACTAATCGAATTGATGAACTTTACAGAGTTCACTTTGATAAAATTATGACAGAATTTCATGTTTCTATTGACAATTTCAAAAGTTATTCAGTCGAAGATCTCATTAAAGCTAATATAAATGATAAAAATGCACGTCATTTAATGATCATTGGAAAAAGTAATTCAATCGTAAACGTTTTGGCATATAAATTAAAACAATGGAATAAAGAATTGGCGGATGCTAATTTGGACTTGGAACCTGTTGTTATTTATGGTAGTCAATTTCCTAACGATTTCGATGGTGATTATCAATATAGTGTATTAAGCCGTATTATGGTAAGTTTAATTTGTTATAGCTCTTACAGTGGTACAATATTTGCTAATAAAAATATTTATTACTTAGATGTGCGTAGAGGAGGGAAGGCCATTAATTTTGACAGATCTTGATACTATTTACGGTAATATTTGCTTATTCTATTTTTTTAATGTCATTCTTTGCAATAATTAACATGTCATTATATAAAATTTTTAAATAATTTAAAGGGAGTCTTTATGATTTATGGAACCAAAATTACATAACTGTAGGAAAAGAAGGAAATCAAACATTTTATACGCGTGTTGCGTTAGGAGCTTATTCAAATCCTATGGTTTGCGTTCATAAGAAGTTTCGATGTATATTAGTTCTTGATGAAAAAAAAGTAGATTACTCGGATCCACCATTGCTAAATCGATTTGAAAAACAGAGAATGACTATTAGTGACATAATAGATGATGGTATGGAAAGCTTATTAAATAGACTTATAGAATGGTCAAAGCAGATATCAACACTCGTAAATGTAGAAGACGAGATTGCATCAAAATTTATTGAGAATGACATTTTTATTGGATTTGATAAAGAAGAAACATTACAAAGTTTATTAATTTATAGTTGCAATAATTCGAAATTAGAAGATGAGGTGGCCATTTTGGACAAGTGCAAAGAATTGTTGATAGGTATTGCATTACCCGATGGAATTGTACGCTCAAAAAAGTCAATGTTAAAGAATAAAGAAGTAGATTATTGGTATAATTTCTACTTCCAACAAGATCATGAGGATTTCTCTAGTTATATTAGATCATTGTTGAGAGATGTTAAAAAAGCACAAGGCTTTAGTTCGATTATTTACACATTCTCAAATGTTAACACCGATGTTGAATCTTGCTTAAAAAATATTCTAAAATGTCAAGTTGATAAGCTCTCAACATTTAAGAGTGAGGCTCAGTTTCAATCCCGCGTCAAACATTTCTGGTTGGAATCTAAGGATGACATTCTAATTTTGCAATGTGATTTGGATGCGGCAAATTCAGAGTGCGTTAAGCTTGCAAAATTCATCATAGAACAATATAAAAATGAATTTATGGCAAGCAAATACTCTGCCACAAAAGTTAAACATGTTTGTATAATTCTTCATTTGAGGAAAGAGAATGTGACCTCTACAATATCATCATTTAATTTCATGTGTGGATGGGATCTATTTACTATTGAAACATTAATCCCTCAAGAATATCCTCTTCGGACCTATCTAGATAACGATTTGATAAGTGTTCTAAAAACTGCTTATACATTTGAGAATGTCGTTGATCGTGAGTTATTATGGTGTTTACTTTGCATAGAGTTTCCACCATCTTATGAGTCAACCGAATATATTAAGTAAGTTATCATTTTTGTATGTCTATTACAGTAATAAGTTGGATTATTTAAATTAGTTTAAATTTGGATTATATTAATTTTTAATTTGATGCTCTGGAGCAATTTGATTTGAGAACAATTTTTCTAAAAATAATTTTACCTTGCTATTTTATAGATCACTCGTTCAAAAAATTCCGCATCATATGGAATTTATGAATTGGATGAAGACTAGAACATTTGAATATCTGCACAATAACCGTTTCAAAGATTGGCAATTAGAAGTTGCAGTGAACAAAAAAGATCTATATTTATATTCTTCATTCTCAACTGCTTTACAAGTATATATTCGTCACCAAGTCAGAAAACCTATAGCACAACTCCTTTATGCATTAGAAAAGTTATCAGGACTTTTAATTCTTTACAGTGATAATTTATTTGATGAGGTAAATAAGATTGATGATGAAGATAATAGTGAGAATAATATTACTGCATTCACTTTCTGGGAGCCTATAATCATGAATACCAAGTTAGTTAACATTGAAAATATAAAAATGCCTTATATAATAAAAAACAGTGTTCGCAATTTGAAACTTCCATTTTCACGATACTTTATAGATCAGATCAATAAATTTAAAAGTATATATCAAGATGATTTAATGATGTTGGAAAGAGATCCAGACAATATCGATGAAGAAACTGGTAACCTTATGTCATATATCATAGATGATTGCATTGAAAGATTTTCGGAACATATTATGTCCATAGTTCCTGTTTTAAAATTACCACGATTTAAATTTCCAAGTATATATTTTGATGATTTTGTGTCTATTGTTTCAAATGAAAAAACTGATAATAGCCAATTATTGCGCCGGATTATATCTTATCATATGAGAAAAGAAGTACCGGATCCTATAAGACTTCATATATTTTGGTGGGACAATGAAGATTTAATCTTAAATGAATTGCAATTAGCCTTATTATTTCCAAGTATTATAGAAGAAATAAAATTTGATGAATTGGATAAAGAATTCAATTTTGATAATTATCTATTAAAACGACAATCGGATATTATGATTAATCAATTTTGTGACATTATTGACAGCATTTGGAAGAAAGACGATAATATAAATAAGGATGACGATGACTTGGATAGTGAATTGGACAAAAACAATAGCACTAGTGACAAAGATTTTGATAAAAACAATAGCGCTAAAGATGACGATGATTTGGATAGTAAATTGGACAAAAACAAAAAGAAACAGGATAATGATAAACAACATTCTAGTGCTTGTAATGAGAACAACTCGGATGATATACAAATTAAACTTCAACTTTGGCAACGTTGTGTTGCAAATATTTTGTCAATTGCTTGTAATTTATCAAATTCATTTGATAATCCATCATTAAATGTGCTTCGGGTATATAATGATTTGTCTAAATCAATACCTTTAACACAAATGCTTCAAATTAGGCAACATGAAACTGATCTGTTTTCAGCACAATCTATTAACATTATTTTTAAAATGTTTGACCAAGTAGCGAAGACAGAAATTAGTTTGTTTTCGAAAAGATCTTTTATTTATAGATGTTTAAACATAATTCCACTTGAATCACCTACCCGTTCTCATCTTTATGTAAAAATATTTTCTCAAGAACCTTTACCATTTACTTTCCACATCATCTACTTAATTTTTGAATCAGAAAATAGAGCACAAGAAGAGCTATTGTTCTTTAATATTATTAATAACCCAGGAATACTAAAAAGTACCAAGCGACTACAAGTTATCGAAAATATCTTATCTAATCAAACGAACTCTGAAATGGCAGCATTATGTTGTGATGTTATTCAAACACAACTCACAGAATATCAATTTGATGAACTATGCAATTACTTTCTAAAAGCAATAGATATTTTAATTAGCAACTCAAAAGCATTGCAGAAAATTACTGCAATCGCTCTTTTGAAAATATTTGCTAATGAATTTTGGAATCACACAGAATTTGTTGATAATTTTTTAACCGATCCCATCAAACTAAATGATATTAATATTAATGATTTAAACAAACGTTTGACAATAGTTCATCCTTTGATTCACTCGTTCACAATATATTTAATCAAGTCTTTATATTTGAAAGGATTAACAACCTATGAAATTAAACGGTTCTGTGAAGCGCAACAACAAATTTTACCATGGGTCAGAGTCTTAAAAACAGATTGTGATAATCGTCTTGGATTTAACCCTTATTGGTACTTAGGACAATTTAAACAAGTCGATCTTCTAGTTAATACAATTTCTTATAGTGATGAAATATCAGTTAGCAATTTATTTAATTCGTTTATTGGAAATAATGAGATAACTCGGAAAATTTCATTAGCGGGAATGATAATAACAAAATTTTATCTTATCAGAGCATCACGTGAATTGAATACGAATGAAAATCTTTTAATACAAAAGATTTCTAAGTATCTACATTCATCACAACTTCCTGAAAATTATAAGACGTATCTTTCAAACTTTATGACAAATAGTCATCAATTATATAAGCTAACTCCAAATATTGAAAATATTGAAGTATTTATTTCATCCGTTGTGGCTCACGTTGTAGCATTAAATATTTCAATTTCTGTTAATTCATCTCCTTTAGCCGCATACATGCAAGCATTATATGATCATAAAGACACTTATATATTGACATGTCCATCAGATGAGTTTGCCTCAATAACAAATGTCATGATAGCAAAGGATTCGGGAACAAGAAGGTATATTATTTTATTATTTATTTAAATTTCCAGTACCTGAGTATGATTTTAATAATTTAGTAATTAATATTCGTATTAATCTTTCTAGATATCAGTGCAAATGTGGACTTCCTTATTTTATTGGTGATTGTGGACGTCCAGATCAAATCGGTGAATGTAATCAATGCAAAAACAAAATTGGTGGTTTAGGACATAACCTTAATGAAGGAAGTAGTAGTATAGATAATGATAAGTTAAAACAATCTGTTGTAGCAAATGATAAACAAGGCTATATAATTGAAGATGTGTTTGATACTTATCATACTGTTAGAAATTTGCACCTTGCTTCTTACAGAATTCTCCATCTGTTCTTGCATATAATTATTGGAGTTCAAGCACATTTACCAACTACTGTTGCTTTTATTAATAATCAAGAAATTGATATTGTTCAATACTGCAAAAAGCACATTGAAAATGATTGGAAAACATTGAAAAATATTTTTAACTGCGAAGATGAAACTTTGTCTTTAGTTATTCATGCAATACTTTCGGATATGCAACAGGAATCTCAACAAACCATAGAAAACTTTACATTGCCAGCTCAAAGAGAAGCTTGGGAAACCCATTTTAATGAAAGATACATTTTACCAAGAATAAAAAATTTTATAGGAACTGCTAATAATTTTCGAATAGAATTAGATAAGAATGCAGAAAATTCACTTGAAATCAATGAGACTATGGAGGTTACTGATCAGTATAATAAGAATTATTTACCTCTGCTCTGGCGATTAATTAGAAAACCAGATTTGAACAATTTCAGATCTTATTATATGTCTAATACTGAAAATAAAGAATTATTCCCATTACTAAGCATATTTTTGAAACACGAAGAAAATCTGAATCTTATTCAACACCTCTTACCAATTGTAAAATTTATTCAAATACTATCTTCAAGTCTCTCCCATAAAATTGAAAGGCAAAAGGCACATCAATTAACGTTCCAACAATTTATTGAAGATGAGGCCAAAAGTGATGCTACCGGAAAAATTAAAGAGTTTTTGAATACTGCATTTAATAGATTTGCAAATTCATGGAATTGTTTGATTCCACATATCAAACGATATCAATGTAAAGATTTGCCACAAGGAATACAAGGAATGCCTAAGTTGCATAATAAAACTCCAATAGTTTATGGCTTATATATGTATGAGCCAACCGATGATTCTTTATATATAAATGCAACAATAGAATATCTGGTTCAATTACAAAATAATTTTCTAACCGATATTATGGAAATTTCTCCTAGAGCTTGTCAATCATTAAAATTTATTGAAACCTCGGATACTCAATATCTTTTACAATCTGTTAATCTCGAAAATGCAAAATCCGAAGAAATAATTAATTATGATAACATTAATGAAATTTTTCTATATTGTCAATATAATCTTAAATTAGGCCATGGTCAAGAAATTTTTTATGATCTATATAAAATCGAAGCTGAATTGGCTTTAGAATTGGTATATGGAAAAAAATTAATCAAAGCAAATAAAGATCAAATATACTTAAACACGTTTACATATCATAAAGAATTATTTAGTAGATCTATGACAATATTAGAAGAGATTAAAAATTTAATCCATCAAGAGCCAATACCTGCCAATAGCAGACCATTAATATCTGACAATCAAATAGAATTACTTTCAGCGTTAGAAATAATTATTTGCTTTTTAAAACAAACCTCTGGAGACCAAAATACTTTGATTAGTGATTATATAGAAAAATGGATAAAATTAAGCGTGATGAAAAGAAATAATAATAGTTATGAATTATTAATAAGAACAGGATTGCAGCTTAAACATATTGTGGCGCTATATGAATTAGTTGAAGAACACGTTGCTGATATAGTTGTTAATTGCATACCATTAAAGTATCAGGCTAATTTAAATGAATCTTTAAAGCAAGATATTATAAAATCGATAGATTTTGAAAAGTCAATCTTTGAAAAATCTGCAGAAATTCCAGCAAAAGCATTTTTAACTGCATTGAAGAGATTGATCGTAAGATATTTGTCAACTGATAATGAAATCATCAAAGAAAATGATCTTCTTTCTTTGTATCTTTTAGAGAATGAATCTCTTGGATGTTGGCCTGATTACGTTTCTATAGATATTATAGAAGATAAATTTCCAACTACTTTATTAACCTCCCATATATATAATGCCTACAAGTTTATCGAAGAGGTAAATATTAATTATTTAATGATATTTATTTTTAAATCATTTAAAAATAATTCTAATTACATATTTATTAACAATTTTTAGAAACAACGTGCATTCGATCAAAAAAATCAAACAGCGAGTAATCAAAATGAACAGTATATTCATTTAAACAAAAGGTCAAAAAGAGGAGCACGATATGGAAGATTTAGAAAGTCTTAATTGCATTGGTTTATTTTAAACAAATAAAATCAATATACAGTACTGGAAGATCATGATTATGTGAACTAATATGTAGTGTTGTATCTTATAGTGAGAAAAATATAAGTTTCTTATTTTATTAAAAAATTTATATTGTTTTTAATAGAGTTGTTAATTCGAATAAAAAATTATATATTTTATTTTAAAATAAGTATAGTTATTAATAATTCATTGCAGAAATTCTTAGCAAATAAAAATAATTACAACCCAAATTTTTTTTACAAAATATAGAATAAAATAAAATAAGCCCATTTAAAAACTAATTTTTTGGCTCTCATAACCTGGCTGTTCAATATATACAAGTTTCAAATTTAAAATTTGAGGCGCAGCATAAATAACCAATAGGATTTTCAATCATATACTAAGTATAGGGGTGATATTAATTCATCGTATGCAATGATAACGTGATACTTTGATTTTAAAAATCTATTCTTCGAAGACTAAGAATAACAACTAATCAAAAAATCATTGACAAATTGAATTCAAACTAGAGATGCAGTAGAATTGCCGTAATTATAGCAAGTAATATAGTAAGTTACGGCATTATAGCCGTAACTTACTATAGTACTTGCTATAATTACGGTAAATTACGGCAGTGTGCCGAATGTCATTGGGACAATTCTACTGCATCTCTAATTCAAACACATGTAATGCAAATATTATTCGCATTTTCTCCAATTTAAAACCCCTTTGAACGACTGTTTTCTTAGCCTATTCCTCATATACCAAGAACGAAGACTGTATACAAAATCTTGATTCGCATTGGATGCCGTGGTCTTATAATTTTCATGTCAACTATTAAAGAGCTTACAAACGTACGTACGTATATTTCTGATCTTGTATAACTATGTAATGTAACTAACCTATACTTAATTGCATAAAATTTATTACCATTTAAGCTTTTTAAAAGATCTGAAATCAACTTAAAATGATTTCAAATCATAGGTATTCTACATCAGCTTACAACATATATGTTTAGTTCAAAAATCTAGTAGGCAATAATTTATTAAAATAATAATACATTTTAAGAGAAAAGTCATTTATATCATTTTCGTGATCTCTTTTTAATAGGTCCAGAAGTTGAAGTTATAGAAGTTAAGGAAATTGGACAATTTACAACCGTACCATCATAAGTATTTTCAAGATTTGAGACTTGATTAAATGAAGTTATTGGAAAAGTAACATTAGAGGTACTATCATAAATGGTCCAAATTCCAGTATAATTGCTTAATCCTGGAATTGTACTAGGAAGAGTTGCTAATAAAGTACCATTACTTGAATACACGTGGTATATAGGTGCGGTAGCGTTACCAGCTGGGTTAATACCGAAATTAAAACAATGAAATTGAACACCTTTATAGTAACCAAACATTTCTGGACCGTCAGCAGGATTCTCCAATTTTGCAGAAAGTCCAACTTTAATTAAATTTATAGATTTATTGTTGAATAGGTTATCTTTTTTTTTTTTAAAAAAAAAAAAAAAAATTTATAAGTGATTTAATGTTGACTTACCAACTGGAATGTTGACATAGATATCAGTTTCTGTAATTTTTACGTTGTTACTAAGATTTTTTAGACTATCATATGACGTAATTGTACCGGAACTATTTGTTAAACCGGTTACAACGTTTACTCTTTTAAGATCAGAATATCCATCATCACCAGGAATTAAATCGATAATGTTTGGTTGTAGAGTGTTAGCCATATTATCATTAGTATCTTTAAGAAATACATAAATAGGATTTACACGAGATATTGCTGGTGCGGGTGTCGCGTTATATATATAAAAAACGTAAAATTTAACTTGTATGTTGTCGAAATAACTAGGAGTAGTTGTATAAGTCGTGTTTGGAAGAGCATAAGGATCACCAGCAATTGCATGATTAATTAAAGTAAGCAAAATAAAACCGATTGAGGTGAATATCTTTAAGAGCATTTTTGCTTTGAATAATTGATAATGAGTTAATTCAACAGATTTATATTATAAATTCACAATGCTTCATGCCATTTAAATAACTGAATAGCCTTTATTATTATGGTTAAATGAAATACATGTATAAGAGAATGCAAAAAAAGATATCCGTATGTAAAAAAAACTCCGTAGATTCATATAATAGGTGGCAAAATTCTGTAACAAGAGCTATCCGATTGATAATCTGGGCTTGGTGTAAAAAAAAAGACCAAATTGGCAAAAAAATTTCTTCACAAAAAAATCAATTATCTCGTGAACTATTAAATATAGTTACATAATTTTAGCGCTATTCGTTTCGTCTCGAAGAGAAGAATCAATTGGTGCAGTAATCATGTGATTTAATTAATAGTTCACGAGATAATTGTTTTTTTTTTTTTGTGAAGAACCTTTTTCTCAGCACAAGCCCAACTGTTATTTAATATAATCGATCTTCTTGATTTATTCTTGGTAGTACGTACGTACGTACATATACATTCTAGTGTCATATTTCACCAAAAATTTTATCCGATTGGTTGGTTCGGCAGTCTTTAAATTTGGTAGTGGCTGATAACTTGCTATATAAACATACCGATACATGCAAAAGATCTTAGCTATCCAGTCGATTTAATAGCTCCCGACATAATCTAGCGTACAACAAGAATTTATATCTAATTTATAAAAGTCGTTTTTTTAAAACTGAAAATACGTAAATAGTTTATCAATTAACCTAAGTGAAAATTTTATCAGTCAAAATTAATATAAAATGGTTTAAATAAAGATATTGTATATTTATAGAATGTACGCATATGTATTTTTATTTATTTATTATTATTATTATTACAGTATTATGCGTTACTCATAAATATTTTCGAGATTACTATCAGTAAAAGATTAAATCACATAAATCACAATTAGTGCAGATCTAGCTTCGATAATAAAATAAAAAGATACTCATAGAAAAGATGTTAAGAATTTAATGGTAACTAATGTTTGAACAATCCCTATTATTTATTAACTTGTATAGTTCATACCTTAAACGATGGATAATTACAATAATATTGGAAATTTTTAATAGCATAGATATAGATATATAACAATTTTTATTTTAATAGCTATCAGTATATGAAGAAAAGCCTAATTAGTTCAAGTAGCTAAAGTTTGGTTACGTGGTTTATGTTAAGCCGCTGATTTACTTATGTCCATATCAACTATCAGGATAATGATAATGTTAATGTTAATGATGATACGTTTAGATAATAATAAACTTGGAAATAAATCTAACATTGATATATCGCTTATCCGATTCTATCAATAAATCTCAAGTTCAATGTAATCAAAGTTTTTATAAAAAGCCATGTTTATGATATTTGTGTCGAAAATAGATACAGCCACATACAGGACGATGCATGCTTTCTTGCATACACAGTAATTACATTCGACACAAATGCCATACCGATATAAATACACGCCAAACAATAATTCGTATCTAAGACCTTTGTGGCTTACTAATTCTTTTACCGTGGGCTTAGTATCATTACTAAATTAAGATAGCAGTGTAAAATTCAATCAAATTATCGTTATCGGGTGGACGGATGGATATACTATATGTGGCGTGAAGTACTTTTGGCTTTGATTTATCATTTCGAACTTCGAAAATCTATCACATAGATGACAATATGTAATTGTTTGATATACATTTATTTAAGTCATTATATAAATTTAATATATGAAACCGGATTAGCGTGATACAAATTTTAAAATAAGGTATTTTATACCCATACCGTATACAAACCTGCGTAAATTAACATTGGCCGTTCTTTTTTAGAAATAAGGGAACGAAATCGACAAACTTAATACAAAGATCAACAGATGAATATATTACAGACCTAAAATTGGCTAATCAGTTCTGTTAAAAGTGAAATCCTTATAATTAAAGGATACTTAAAACTTTTAAAAAATGAAACTAATAAAATTTTCATTGCTACTCATTGGTAGAAAAAAAAACCAAAAAATTATACTGGTTAGGACCGTAATTTGAACCTGAACTGGAATAATGCAGCACCTATTGGTAAAATTCCACAAAGAACATTTTTAATTAGGCTGCAGAAGTTGTTTCCTAATTAAATTTTTTTTTTTTGGTAAAAAAGTGGTTTCGATTGACCAATATTACAGGCGACGAACTATTTTTTGTGGATCAAAAAATAAAACCCGATTCAAAAAATTCATCGACGATCTGCGGTTTAAATTGGCCAATGGAATTTAGCGCATATCATCACGTGGTCGCAAATTTTTGCGGCTACTACAGTACCATGTATAATGAAAAACCCGATCGGCTAGATTTCCTAGATAACTTAAATCGAAAATAATGGGGAATCTGGACAATAAGGATAATTTCAGTAATATGGTGGATATTAATAATGCCAATTTGGGTTTATTGAGGATCCCATTAATATAGATGATTTCTGCAAATGTAAATGGTTGAATTTACAATATAAATAAAGGTCTTTGGGAAAATAACTCCCGCCTTTACTTTATTAATATAGTAATATAATCATGCATAGGGATGTGTTCAGTCAGTTACGGTCCGCTATCGGTCGGCTATTACCGGCTAGCAGTGTCTGAAATTCAATTTTTAATTTAGTTGCGGGCCCGCAACTAAATAAAAAATCTACAAGCAGATTATGCATATGAACATATCTATATGCAAACTCAGGCATTTCTATATGCAAATTTACAAAATCTATTTGCGGAACTGCATATACATTTCAGATTTTAGTTGCAGAACCTTATAAATAATCATTTGCGGTCCGCAAGCTCCGCAACCCAATTTCAGACACTGCCGGCTAGCCGGTTATAGTCGACTGAGCCGCGGCTTAGTCGTCGGCTAAATAGTCGGTTATAGCCGATAAATTATTTAATCAAATATCCAAATAGACAACAAATAATTATATATGAGTTTATATTTTTGCTATAGGAGGCTAACTACCCCAGCATTGCCACCAATAAAGTTACGGGCACGTGATTTTAAACCAATCAGATTTCACGTACACGATCAGGAAAATTCAAAACAAACGTTTGCTTCGTCAAAAATCGCTTATAACTCAAAAACATGCACAGGAAACCACCTTTAGTGTATTGACAAAAAGTTTACCTCAGGCGATTTTACTATTAAAACTTCTCCAACCCTAACCTTAGCATAGGCCTTAATCCTAACCTAAACGAATTTAAAGATTTTTGGTTTGCCGCAAATATGGTCACGTGTCCGTAACTTTTTTGGTGGTGATACTAGGAGGCTGAACCAGGGACGTTGAATTAACCATAGTAATAGCTTCCGCAACAAATTGGACCGGCAGATCCTCGATTTTGATTAGCTAAGAGCGACGAAAAAAAGATTAGGCCGGAATTACTCATAATTTTACTAATGAAATCATAGCCGCCCATTAAATG